TTACGTTAGTTCCGACGTTGGGATCGGCTCCATTTTTCAGGAGGGCTTCTGCGACCTCGTAGGCCCGTTTTCTGCAGGCGATGTGGAGGGGAGTTTGGCCTTGAGGGCCCTTGGCGTTGACAATGTCGGTCTTTGTGGGGGCATGTGTTAGGAGCGTATTGACGACGTCGGCACAGGTTGTGGAGGCGGCGGTGTGTATGACGAAGTAGCCCAGAGCGTCAGGACAGCGGACGAGTAGTTGGGTGACGATCTCTGGCGGTCGATCGGCGAGCAAGGCCTGGATGGACCGGATCTCCTTGCGAATGACGGCGCAGCGGAGAGCTGACGCCAGAACCTCGGTCGGGTTGGACGATTGCTTCAAAGAAAGCGGCGTCGTGGTCGACACGCCCGTCGAAGAGGAACAACGGCGGTGGCTCACCCTCGGCACCGCCACAGGTTTCCGCACCGACGTCGTTCTCGAGGGAAGCCGCGGTGGGCCATGAGCTACATTGCTCCGAGATACCTTGTTCCCAAACGACTCGCCGCCAGTCAGTTGGGGAGAGGGGATCGGCTGGGGAGAGGGGACTCCGCGAAGCTGGACTCCGCCAAGCCGAACTCCGCCAGTCAGGACTTCGGCGTCGATCGATTTAGCCTCTCGCTCAAGGACCCAGCCCGCATTCTCATCGCCTCGACCACCCCCCCGGCTCGGCGACTTGGGGGCTTGGGGAAGGTGGACCTGAGGGAGGTGGAGACGGATTTTGGGCGGCGACAAGTGGACGCCAGTAGACTCCGTGTGGCATTCGGCGACAGGGGCGTTCTTGGGCAGTGTCATCGACGCAGCCTGATCGTAAGCCAGCCATTTTCTAGCATACGTCCATATCGACGTGACTATAGATCTAAGAAGGGGACATTAGATCCAACGTGATCAGACGTGTAGCACACCCGCCTTTGTGCTTCACACACGCGTTTGTGTTTGACACACGTGTGCGGCGTACCTAACAATTGCTACCACGGGCGCGAAGGGCTTTTGGGCCGTTGCCAGCATGACACAGAAGATCGTGAAGGGCTGCCGCGCCGCTGCCAACATTATATAAAAGAATTTATTGTTGAAAGATGGAGTCGTTGCCGGCGATTATGTGAAGCATTATGACGGCGTCCGTTAGGGCGGAGCCGTTGGCTAGTTCGAAGAGGAAGACCTGTGGGATACGGGCGAGTTGACCGGTGCTGAGGTGGAAGGTGAAGGCGGTCTGCGGAGGTGAGTCGAGTTGGAGTTTTTTCATGAGGTCAAGATCGGGCTTGCTGTAGATCTTGACATGGTCGCCTTTTACCACAGAGAAAAGCAGCTCCGTCCCACGAGTGAGGTCCATTCCACGCGACTCCTTGGCCGCCAATCGGATCACCATCGACCGTGTCCGAACTGTTTTATGCAACATTAAGATCCGGTAACAACAGTCGCCCTGACGTATCACCTGCCAATCCTGCTTGCTACCGAAACGACGAACCAATTCCACAGACTTGTACCGAGCACCCGCAGACGGAACCGCCCGAATCGAATCCTTCACCGAACGATCCCACCACTCGAAGTCTAACGACGGCACACTCACCGCACGCTCATAACGCACACCATTAAACACGCCGCCGGCCTTCTCTGTTGGACCGAGGTTGGTCACAGCACCCACCACTGTACCGAGTCCTAGGTCTGGACCTAGGTCTGGACCTGGTCCTAGGCCAGACACAGATCCAGAGCCCGCCGCCAGCAATGAGCTGGCGCCAAGTGATGAGTCGCTCGTTAACGACCCGTCGTCCAAGTCGACTAGCGTCTCAACTCCTCCAGTCCCCGCCGGCCCGGCAGGCCTGACCGGTCTGGCGTCGTCGTCCACCTTGACCAGGCGCATTTCAGGTTCCCGAGCGGCGGGACCGCGACGGTGGCGCCGGTCGTCTCGTGGGTCCACGTCTTCTCTGACGTTCCATTGGTTATCCTCCTGCTCTCTATCTGCGACCGGTCCCTGCTCGTCCTGGATCTTGGCTCTGTCAGCTAGCCTGACTCTGTCAGTCAGGGCGGGAGGGGCGCGATCTGGAGGCTTGCCGAGTCTGCGGGAGCCACCTCCGACTCTGCCGAGAAGCTGTTCTTCGACCAAGTCTGCTTTGAACACGGCCGTGGCTTTGGTGTTGGTCAGGCTGCCATCTACTGACTTGTACTCGATACGCTCGCCGGCCCACCACTTCAGCACCGGGATCCGCACGCGCTTTGTCCGACAGCGCACGATCTTCCCTTCTTTGTTCATCGCCGAGAAGGCACGTTCGTCGTCAGATGAGGACACCTCGCAGATCGATATCCGACGCAACCGCCGCGAGGCCTCGGACAGACGCAATGTCGCCTCTCCTACCAGCGCCAGGTCCTTTCCAACCGGCACCAGTGCTTGACTGTCCGCCCCATCGGCTCTACTCGCTGCTACCTTACCTTGTCTGCTAGCTAATCTAACCTCTTGCGTCTTCTTACTCGCCAACTTGGGTTTCGCTTTGGCCTTCACCTTAGCCTTAGTCTGAGCCATCTTCCTTCCTGCCGACCTAGTCGTCCTAACGGGCTTGGTAGGTTCCCTATGAGCCACTGGCGCGTCCATAGTAACCGCTGGCTCGTCCGTGATGGCCACCGGCTCCTCATCAACAGCCTGTGGCGGTTCGTTCCAGTCCGCCGGCAGAGGGCTGTCATGCAGGAATGAGTCCACTTCGGTACCACCCGCGTCAGCACCACCCTTCGGATCCTTCGCTATCCTCCGGTCCGCTAACACCTCCTGTGCGGTCTCGCTTTCGGCGGCTGGTGCTTCTCGTCCCGGGTCCTGGTCCAGCGGTCGGGGCGTGACCCAACTGGGACTGTTCGGCACTTGGTGCTTCAGAACGGCGTTCACCGTGTCGGCGAAAGCCTTCAGATTCACAAAGGCCTTGTACGGCTGAGCCGACCCTCGAGAACTGTCGCCATTAACTACCTGCCCAGCACTACCTACCCCTGCTGGCTCGACCCCGGTCCGTTCGGTGCCTGGATCTTCAACCTCCGCTTGCACCGTCTCGACCCCTCCTTGCTCAACCCCTACCCCTGCCGTCGACTCCGGGCCCGCCGTCAACTCAGGCCCTGCCAAATCGGAACTTCCCCTCTTCTCTCTAGGCTTCTGAATGATGGGCTGCCCACTGTTCTGGCTATCACGGAACTGAACCGAAACCTCCGTCTGGATTCCACTTGCCTGTTCAGACGTCGTGGCAAACGGTGCTTGGTCACCCCGGCCCTTCGCTTGAGTCACCAGACGCGATCGTTTTCGTGGCACTTGGTGAGTTGGCTCCGGATCCGAGACCAATACCTGCAAAGTTCTATCCGCCATCGGCGACTCCGCGGTTCGAGTCTCGCTAGGCTTTCTTTTCAAGTTCTTACCGTTGGACTTGCTCACAACCGCCTCTGGGCCCACCGCGCTTGGCTTATGCGCCGCGATTGCCTTACTCCCCAACGTTGCCTTACCGGCCACGGCTTCTTTACCGGCCAAGGTTGCCCTACCAGCCGCAGTTATCTTACGGGTAGCTGGTGCCTTGCCGTTTGCCGCCTCTCTCCTTCGAGCTCCTTTCTTCTGCTCCGCTACCTCTGGCCGATCGGGGGGACTTTCGGGAGGGTCGGAGTGGTGGTACACCTGGTCACTACCGTCCGCCGGTTCGATCCCCAACTCCGCGATCGGACGACGGTCCTCCGACTGCGGTAGAGAGTCTCTCTTGTTCGCGTCTTCAGACACAGCCGACACTCCAACCTTCTGCTCCGGTCTGCCCTCAGGCGCTCGAGATTCGACGCTGGCTCGAGATTCAACACCGGTTCGAGACTCAACGCTGGCTCGAGAGTCCGGAGGCAGTGACTTTGTCTTCAGGTTTCGTCTGCTTAGCTTGGATGTCTTCTTGCTCAGCTGTACACCTGCTTTTTTCTTCGGCCGCTCTTTCACCACCTTCCCATTACTTGCTTTAGTAGCGACAACATCGTTAGCGACAACATCGTTAGCGACAACATCGTTAGCGACAACATCGTTAGCGACAACATCGTTAGCGACAACATCGTTAGCGACAACATCGTTACTCTCTAGAGTCCGGGCCAGGTCGCCGACGTCTACCCTGTCGTCGTTATCTGCCCTGTCGGCCAGGTGCATTACGCCTTCGGCTGTTCGACCATTGCCGTTTATTACCAGACCACTGGTTGCATGATCGTCATTGGTTTGAGTACTGAAGAGCTTCGTTGCTGGAGGGTAGTTGATTGTAGGAGCGTCGTTAGCTGCAGCGGTGGGCGGGATCTCTGAAGGTTTCGTGTCTGAAGGTTTAGGTGGGCGTAGTCTCTGGATAATGCTCCTTCCCGGTACGGGTTCTGGTGGGGTGGAGGTCTTCCGTTTATCTCGTTCGCCCAATGGTGTTATGGGTCTTTTACCCAGCATGGGAGGCAACAGCGGAAAGTCAACGGTCTCCGTGTCTCCATGTCGCCCGGAGGTGCTGCTACCTGGCTCGTCATAATATTTCCAATCCGCCGCCAAACTGTAGCGCTCCGGGTGCAACATGCGAGTCACAGCCTTCTCAACGTTGTCGCTTCCTGAGGTTGCTTGTTCTTCATTGCGATGGTCATTGCGATGGTCATTGCGATGGTCATTGCGATGGTCATTGCGATGGTCATTGCGATGGTCATTGCGATGGTCATTGTTGTAAGTCGAGTGGACATCTGGAGGTCGGTGGCGCGAGTCGTCCATCTGCCCAATCAGCATGTTCAACACATCCATTTCGTTGTCCGGCATGGTCGACGTCCGGACGCTATCCATTGACTCTCGATGGGAACGGCGCGGGTTGAAACTATTCGACGTCTCCTCAGAGTTGGATTCGTTCATCAATACATTCATCAAGCGTTCGTGATACTCGCGCGAACTTGTATCGGCCGGCAAACTCTCTCTTGTTATAGTCACTGGTTCTCTATGTTTATCCTGACCATTAAGCGGCACACTCCCATGCGCATAATGATTTTCCTTGTTCTGGTGATTGTCTTGTCCTCGAGACGGTCGCTGCTCTTCTAAGCCCACCTCCAACAATTCAAAAGGAATCCAGCTCCCCGAAACTCTGCGATTGGACTCATAACCCCGCCCGCTCAGCTCCAAATCGCTCTGTCCACGTCTGGTCTGTTCATGGCTGGTCATTTCATGGCTGGTCATTTCATGGCTGGTCGTTTCATTACTACTCTGGGCGGTGGCCCCGCCGAGCTGATAGAATATTTCAAACGGGTCATCTGCATCCCTCAAGACATCTAGTACATTTTCGATTGCATTGGCTACAGACGGCGGTTTGATAGGTGTAGCTTGAAATTCGTTCACGAGGTCCCTAATATCCCAGTCATTGTTGCTCATATTTTTGCTGGTAAAACGCTGGCTGCTTACCCCGGACGGCAACTCTCGAAGTACCCGCTTTATGCCACAAGAGTGTTAGGACTTTGTCCATTAGGACTTTGTCCATTAGGACTTTGTCCATTAGGACTTTGTCCATTAGGACTTCGTCTATTAGGACTTCCGTTTATCGGTTTGTGTACTGTGAGATGGTTAGTATACTGTGAGATGGTTAGTATACTGGGGGGTGGTCGGTATACTGGAGGGTGGTCGGTATACTGGGTGTAATTAATTAGACAAAGTTAATTTTGGTGAGGGTTCCAACTCGCCGACAGCCGAACGGACGATGTCTGCGGCTTTGTGTAGCTCGGGTTGGGTGATGATGAGAGGGGGTGCAAGTCTGATTATATGGTCATGAGTCGGTTTGGCTAAGAGTCCGAGATCTTTGAGATGTAGACAGAGTTGCCAGGCACTGAATTGTGGATAGATCACGACACCCCATAAAAGTCCGCGACCTCTAACTTCCTGGATTATATGTGGAAAGTCGTGTTGTATTGACTGTAGAAGCTTTTGGAACACCAGCCCTTTTTCGGCAGCTTGTTTGGACAAGTCGCGTTCCAATATCTCCTTGACCGCAGCCACGGCAACAGCACTACCAATAGGGTTACCTCCATATGTGCTTCCATGCTGGCCGGGCCTAATAGTAAGCATGATTGGATCATCAGCGAGGACGCAAGAGACGGGGTAGACGCCGCCACCTAGGGCCTTCCCCAGACATATGATGTCAGGCCGAATGTCGTCGTAATAGTGACAAAGTAACTTCCCAGTTCGGCCAAACCCGGTTTGGATTTCATCGAGTATGAGAAGCACGTTGTTCTCGCGACATGCCTCACTGACGGCCTTGAGATACCCCGCCGGAGGCACCACGATTCCGGCCTCACCTTGGATGGGTTCCAGCAGCACCGCCGCCAATCGTTCACTGTTCTCTTTAATCACTTGGATCATGGCTTGGCTGTCTCCGAAGGGCACCTTCAAAAAACCAGGCAAAAACGGTCCGTACCCACTAAAACTTTCTGGATCGCTCGAAAACGAAATCACGCCCAGAGTCCGACCATGGAAGTTGTTCTCCGCAACCACAATTAACGCTTCATTCGCCGCAATCCCTTTCACGTCATAGGCCCACCGCCGACCCAACTTGAGTGCAGTCTCCACCGCCTCCACACCCGTGTTCATAAACAACGCCTTGTCGTAGCCAAACGTCTCCGTAAGCAACTTCTCCGCCAGCCCCAACTGGTCGTTGTAAAACGCACGCGATGTCAGATCCAGACGCCGAGCTTGTGCGATCATCGCCTCCACAATCCGCGAGTTCCCATGACCTTGATTGATCGATGAATACGCCGACAGAAAGTCAAAATAAATACGACCATCAACGTCCTCCATCATACACCCAGAGCCACGAGTCAATACCACCGGCATCGGATGGTAATTGTGAGCACCAACCTGGCTCTCCAACTCCATATACGACTCAGCCACCCCTACCGTCTCCTTCTCCACCGCCGTCTCGTCCAATATCTTTTCTGTACCTGCCTTCTCGTCCAGTGCGGTCATTTCCTCAACAAGTATACAACTGTTCAATCACCGAATCTTTCAGTTCGGGAAAACCAACTGACTACTGCACCCGGAAAGGAAAACCGTCACGTCTACACCGTTCAACTAGGATTTTATTGAGCGATCCTTTTTGCGGGTGGACGATTGCCCGTTGAATTGAACGACTGCGACAGCAGATTGTTGACTATGATAAGGTTCATGTCGGGGGGGGGGGGCAACTGCCGACCCGATAGGTCGGTAGTGCGGATGCTTTGATGCGCCGTCGGTGACAGGCTAATGATCAGAGGTATGCTGAAACATGAATTTCCCTAGTTGAACGTTCTCCCAGTAACGGGAGACGGTGCGCAACCTGTCTGGAAGCCCGAAAGCCGTAAAACTTAAAGGTAGTAGAGGAAAAAACCGCGGTAGACGCCCAGTGCTACCCAACGACCAATAGGTCCGGCCTGTGCCGTTTCCAGTTCGTGCATCCCAAATCTTGGGGTACGATGCCAACCCTGTGTTCCCGAACCACTTCCACAACGAAACGAAAAACTCCCAATTTCGTTCCTGTCTTCGCCGGCTCCACCCATTTTTTTTTGACAATAAATTCGGGCCGTCTCCATTTGAGAGTTAGTGGTGGCCAGAAAAATGGCCGGAAGTCTTAGCAACGGCCGGAAGTCTTAGCAACGTGTGGAAGTCTTAGCAACGTGTGGAATCTTGGCAACAATGCACATTGACTTGTGGTGGATGCATAACCGTATGATGAAGTAATATATTCAACCGTATGATGAAGTAAGATATTCAGATTCCTTCTGCATTGTTCAGTGAGGAGAAACCTATCATTCTTTCTGATGCGTCGCTTACACCATCTGTCTACGAGAAAAGGAGGCTGTTTCTTCTTGTCGTATCGTGAGTGTTCTGAAATGCACTTTGTGATGACAATTTACAACCTACCCAAATCGATTTCTGACGTGTGCTGACGAAATCAATTGTATCATGTACCACCAGTCTGATAATCACGAGTAGATTGGCCCACTTGGTTGATCGTCACATACATTCTATATGATGCATACTCTATATGATGCATCCGTATTTAACTGAATCCCTTTGAAGATTTATGTACAATCACCAAGATCGCTGATTTTTAGGGGGGGGG